TTAACGAGGAGGATAATCATGATTGGGATGAAGATTTCTCACCAGTTCCTCATCAAGAAAAAGTATACGATGCTGGATCGCGTATCATTAACGAGGAGGATAGTCATGATTGGGATGAAGAGATCTCACCAGTTCCTAATCAAGAAAAGGTATACTATTTTTCTTAAAAATTGCTGTTTGCAAATACTATACATGCTAGATTTCACATTCCAGGGTAAACAAATTAATGGTCGCCTAATTGAAACATACAAATGTGAACTGTGTTCTCGTTCTTACAAAGGCAAACAGATTTTGCGCCTACATTTAGAAAAATCACATAATCTTGAAAGGGGAAAAACTGTAGTTATACAAATGCAAAAATGTGAGCAATGTCCAAAGAAATTTAAAACATTGCGCAGATTGGAAGATCATTACCTAACAGATCATGGTGGCATGAAATGTACGTTTTGTGAAAGGAGATTAACGTCAAGGACAAATCAGTTAAGACACATTGAAACTCATACGCACGGAACAGAGGGAAGATTTGCCTGCGATTACGAAAACTGCACGAAACGTTTCTTTAAACGTCGAAAATATGAAGCTCATAAGCGAACCCACCTCGCAACCAATAACTTCATTTGTGATATATGTGGCTATTCTTGTGGAGTGCCTGAAATGCTTAGGGTACATTATCGTTCGCACAAAAGAGAAAGGCCATACGATTGTGAGGAATGTTGTAAACCCTTCAAATCTAAATGGGCACTCAGACAGCACGAAGTAACGCATGCAAAACCACTGTATCATCATAAGTTAATGCATCCAAAAGAGAAGAAATTCAAATGTGAGATTTGCGGACAAGCATATTCGCAGCGGGCGGAACTGGATGGACATATGAGACGGTATCGTGAAGATGGCCAATGTTGTTATTGAGAAAAACCATTACCCTTTTGAGTGAGAACTTATGAACTTTTTTGACTTGAATAAAAAACTAAAGAAAAAATGCCAAGAAATTCTTGCCGCTTGCGCAAAAGCACACACACAGCGTTGCCGAACTGATGTTTTCAGTCCGGAAGGATGAAGATCTAAGCCGAAATTGGACAGAGGTATGCAACAAAATTAAGGGTTAATGCCAGTATTAAAAAGCGAATACCAGAAATGAAAGAAGAAATAATATCAAAATGCAATTATGCTTTCAAATATGACGCATGATACCATGATAAAAACATAACAAGGTAAAACCATTGAGAGGCAATCTGACGTTTGCCAGCAATATAAACCATGATCATGATTCAATAATAGAAAGGTTTTGTTATAAAACAGTCTTCTCGCCAGTGATATTAGTAGTAAAACCAAAAATTCTTCATACTAAATATTCGTTGGCATCACCTTCGTTTGCCTAATTTTCTAGAGCAAGTGTAGAATACGACCGTTTAGCTATAAAATAACCAAAAATGCCGATCGATAGAACTTTTTACGCTGATTTCAACGATACCAAATTTATTTGGCGCAGGTAAAAAATGAATGTATAAGAGTTTTATTTGTATTTTTATTATCACTAAATTGTTGAAACCCAAAAGTAGATCATGATAAAATATGTAATATCGAATTAAAGATAATAACTTGCACTTTCTAAATAATATAAATTTCTTTACCATTAATTATGCAGTTTTTTAAAAAAAAAGTTTATTCATGAAAAAATAACGTTTGTTGGTTTTTTAGTGGTTTGGGTTTAAAAATACAAAAAAAACTATAAACTGTGTACATCAGCTGAAGAACAAATTAATTACCTTTATGGTGACGTCATTAAATTTTTAATCGGTTAAGTTCATAAGATATTAATATTTAAAATATCTAAAAACTGAACTTTAACCTTCTAGAACATCTTCATTTTTTACTTACGCCAAATAATTTTGGCATGGTTGAACTGAGCATAAAAAGATCTATTGATCTGCATTTTTCGTTTTTGCATAGCTGAACGGTCGGTATTCTACATTTGTTCCAGGAAATGACGAATAACTTAAATCAAAAATGCATATTTTTATGTATTGTTTAGTATTTCCATTAAAACACCAAATATATTGCAAATTCGCATAGAATTTATAATACACATTTTACTTACTTTGTGTACTTTTTGTAGTACCATTCCACTACCGTTTTCGCAAAAGGCGATCACATTCTTCCCCTTTCTCCTACTTCCAAAATACAAATCTAGATAAAGGAGTGTCAAATTTTAGCTGTCACAAATTACACAACCTTGTTTTATTGAATCATGAACCATGATAAAAAAATAGGAAGGTAGAACCGCTGAGAGGAATTTTTCAAATTCTTGCCGTTTGCAAGCAATTTAATTTTAAAATTTTACACACAAACTCACACACACACTCTCATTTTCAATCTCAAACAACAACTTTGAACAATTTCTTTTTTTTTACTCTCAATTTTATATGATTTTAAAATGTTGGCTAACTTCAAAAAAAAAAAAAAATCATGGCCGACGAGGTGAGTGAACGGTTTTACCTTATTATGTTTTTATCATGATATAAACCATGATACAAAAATGAAGGTAGTTAGTTCCATTGTCCCCTTTTCGTCGCCATATTAACAACCTGCCAATTGAGTAGATTGTGACAATGCGTGCTACCATACCCAATAGCTAAACCCTCCAAATTTTGTTATTCATTTATTGGTTATTTACAAACATTTTGTTCTTAGAATCGAAATTTGAACAAGCAAAAGGTATATTGTTGGGTATGGCTCGGTTACTTGTACAATAATTTTGGGTTAATGTTTCCAAATGCTTAACCCAAAGCAAAAATTTTTGACACACACGTGTGGTCAAACAATTACACGTTAGTTTAAAATAAAGATTTCTAACTTTCGGATACAAATTTATGAATAAATTCGGTTTGAAATATGGACCTTTTTATAAAAAAAATACTGTGGTCAGCGTAGCCGGAGTTGGACTTACATTTTCTCTGTCAAAATTCTAATTTTACCCTATTTTTTAATCGGTCCGTCTCCGCTTGCCATCCCAAAACCATTGAACAAATAACCGAACTTTCCCTTTTTGTTTTTGAAAGAGAAGAGGTCTAATGCTCAATAAGTTGATAATTGTGTTTATAGTTTTTATACTAACAATGAATCATCAATTTTGTTTCACACCCCATCCAATATTGAAAATATGTATATTTGTTTTTACCCACAGAAACTACGATATTGTCGAAATATACTAGAATTAGATAATACTCACTTCTCTGAAAGTCATTAGGCCATGAGGTAAATTCCGTTTTCAAGATACTTGAAAGACATGGACAAAGACAATATCAAAATTGTAATTTTAGTGTCTGAAATATATCAGAAATAAACGTATCCGATATAGAAAACTGCGATAGTCCTGGCTAGCTACTTGCGAAATAATCAGATGACATAATGACACAAAAAAATTTTTATATATGTTCACTAAAATTTTATTAGTGTAAAAATAAAGATTTTATCTAATTAAATGTACAATTTAAACGTCTTTAAGAAAAGATATTAATTATTTTTAAAAGGTAAATGTTAATACAACTATTTTATTTACATATGCTCCCAAATTTAGGATATAAAATCCCCTCTACCAAAAAACTTTAACTGGGTAACACCGCTTCGAATTTTTACAATTGAGCAATTGTCAAAAATCTCTTTTTTAATCAAAAAGTTTTTATTGAAACTCCCTTCTTTTTTGTATCATGATATAAACAAAATGTATTCAACTAAGTGTGATTTAATTTGACATTCCTCTCAGAAGAACCATCCTATGAAGTCAAATTGAAAAAATTTTGTATGAATTTTGAATCGATTGTTTATATTTTTTTGGAATAATAGTACCTTAAAAGAGGGCCAACTGAGTTGTCAATCACACCTTGTTTAATACACCTTGGATATAAACTAGCAGACCATTTCTGTTGTTAATTTAAGAATTGAAAACTCAAACTCACACACACATTCTCATTTTCACTCTCAATACAAAAGCAATTGTGAAAAATTTCATTTTTTTTATCTTAACCCACCAGACAATTTTTGTTGCCGGAAATAAGAAAACTTGTCGACCTCAGCAACAAATTTATTGCCGGCAATGTCGCCATCGTATCGATTTCTTATTACCAGACGTTCTAAAACGTCCGCCACAGGCAACTCACCTGGGCGAGTCGATTTCTCATTATCTGAATGAGTCGTTTTATTATTGCTACAGGCGATATTTGAATAATTTCTTGCAAAATTTTTATTATTTTTTAATATTTCATTTGTTTTTGAACACATACTTATAATTTGTAAACGAAATTAACTATTTTTGTTGCTATGGGGCTTCCTATTTTTTCAACCCTGTCTTGGGCATAAATTAGATGTTTTTGAAGAATCCTGTTGACGCGAAGTTCATCAGTTTGGGAATTTTTGAAAACATATTCTCGAAATTACATATGTGAAAGAAATAATGTTGCCTATTTCTCACTACGGCGAGTTGCCGATTTGTTGCCATTGACGACTGTTGCCTATTTCCCATGTTTTGCATGGTGGGAAATTTTATATGATTTTAAAATGCTTGGAAGCCTCAGAAAAAATCATGGCCGACGAATTGAGAGAATGAATTTACCTTGTAATGTTTTTATCATGCATGATACAAAAAAGAAGCTTGTTTCACTCAAAAATTATACAAGGTAAATTCATTCTCTCAATTCGTCGGCCATGATTCTTTTTCTGACGTTTGCAAGCATTTTAAAATCACTTACTGGGAAAATAGGTAAACACCTTACGAGGTAAGCCATGTTTTCTTTTAGTTTTTAATATTAAAATTGTCATCATGGCCAATGCATTATACGTAACTTACCTACTATGTAAAGCAGTTCAGAAGGATGTCTGATACCAAATGCCCATGTAAATTCCTACTTACATAAGGCGGCCACGTCTGCGTTAAAGTAAGGAAGATTCGTCAGTGAAGTGGTAAGGACCGCTGGGTGAAGTGTAAGTTACTGGTAAGGTATTGATTTACTAGTAGATGATACTGGTCATGATGACAATTTTGGTACTAAAGGAAACATGTCGTACCTCGTAAGGTGCTTACCTATTTTCCAGAGCTGTGTAAGTGTGAAATCATTTTCAATTTTAAATCAACAATTTTTTTCTATCCAGTTTTCATTACTTATTCTTCGCTTAGGATTGAGGTTTAAAATTTTTGAATTTTCCATTCTCTCAAAGCAGTTATGAATTCACACATCAACATATTCATAGCAAGATTGAAAAAACCAATGCCCAATCAAAAAAAGGTTTAACACTGAATGAGTATTGAAAAGGCTGCAATCTTTTATGTGTGTGCATTCTTTAACTCAGTACCAATCATTAGTTCAAAGACACCCTGGTAAATAACTTTTTGATAAAAAGGAAGATTTTTGACAATTGCTCAATTGTAAAAATTCAAACCGGCGTTACCCAATTTAAGTTTTTTGGTAGAGGGGATTTTATATCATATGTTTGGGATTATATATAAAACAGTTGTATTAACATTTACGTTTTAAATATAATTCATGTTTTATCTTGAAAATGTTTAAAATTTACATTAAATTAGATAACTACTTCGCATAAGCTTTACATTTAGGTTGATAAAATTTTATTGAAAATATTTTAAAAATCTTAGTGTCTTTAATAAAAAAATAGCTCATCATAAAAATTGTATCGCCGTTCGGCGTCGGCGTAAGTTTGTAGGTCCCTCCCATTTGTGTGACAGCAAAGGCGCACGCTACAAATCGGAGGAGAAGCTCGGCCAAAACTTAGCAAAAGTGGCAGGCCAAAATATGATTATTATAAATAAATTTAGTTTCAAACAGGTCGCAACCCTCTTCAAACACCTCAAAAGTATTCCCAATATTATTTAGTTGTGAACCCGCATGAGTCCGAAATTACCATTTTTTACCAGAATTTCCAGATAGTACGTAAGGTCATCTCTTTGTCAGAAGCTACCTGCTGGAAAATTCTGGTAAATCTGTCAAAAGATCCGATGTAGTGTGTTTGACAACCAAATTCTAAACAAAAGAGAAGTGCACTCTGCTAATGCAAGTTGAAAAGTAAATAA